ACTGAAACTTATAAGGATTGGCATGAGAAACTACCATTTGCTCTATTGGCTTATCGAAGTTCAGTACGAACATTGAATGAATCAACTCCATTTTCATTAGCCTATGGGATTAAAGCAGTCCTACCTATTGAGGCAGAAATTCCTTCACTACGAGTTTTATCAAAGGTAAAACTAGATGAGATAGATTGGGTACAAGCCAGATATGACCAATTGAATTTGATTGAAGAAAAGATATTGAAAGCTATTTGTCATGGTCAGATGTACCAAAAGGCAGATGATACGAGCACATGATAAGAAAGGTCCTTGAAATAGGTGATGCATATTTTGTCTCTATTGGGAAAAAGAGAGAATAAAAGATGTCCGAACATGAAGCATTTCACATTCTTGAAAGCAAGTAGACTGTTAGATCAGAAGGGTTGGATGATAGAACTTGTAACACTCCCTTGTGATGTTATCTGCAAACCGTCAAGAAGAAGAAGATCACCTCATTCGGAAGAGGCACATATTTCATACATTTTTGTCAGAAGGATTGATCACTTTTTAAGTTTGTGACAATATGAAGAGAATCCCTCAAGTTACTTGAAAACACTGTTGTTTAGTAACACTAGAATGAAAGCATTCAAGATTAAGAGATTTGGGCACGAATAGAGCCACGAGTACCCACAACGGGGCATTATCAAAGTTGGACCTCGTGGGGATCATGTGATTCAAATCAATCAGACATTGAGAGTAATCCTTACAATTTAGAATGTTGAGACATTTTGAAGGCTCATTTTAGTCAGAAATAACAATGTTGGGGCATTTTGAATTACCATGTCATCTAGAAGCAAATGTTGGGGCATGTTGTGGAAAAATCATTGATTTGAGAAAATACTTTCAATGAGACAGAAAGGTATGAAGAATGAAAATGGTGAAACGGTGACAGTGGAGCTGACCATATATGATCATTTTGTCCCTCATATAGTTGCATTCTCCGGGTCTTTTCACCTATATTGATGTTGAAAAGCCAAAATGTCCTACTTGTATTTCGAATGAGCTTTGTTTTTAAGTGTCTTTGTGACGTCATACAAAAACTCTGAAAATGATGCAAAGAGTTTCCCTGGTTGAAAAATCTAGGCAGAAGCCACAAGAGATGATGAGTGTGTTGTCATGTTTTATGAATCAGTAAGTATGGTGCTGAACCAATGTTGCGATCATATGGTATTCCCATTTTTACTCAAGATGAAGTTTGTCTTCTTCAACTCAAAGGTTAAAAATGAGAAATTGTGAAGATTTCTTTCCATAGAGGGGCAATGAAATTTTCAAGAAACTAGTAGAGCCAACTAAGATTAAACGATGGGCTGTTGCTAAATGTTTGAGATCTGATTAGAGGTGGAAACATGAAAGGAATTAGGAAAAATTCCCTTAGATGTGTTTCAAGAGTCAAATCAGAATAAATGATGTTTTCCTTAAAATGGTATATCTTCCTTTAAAAAATAAGAGTTTTATTGAATTTCTACACAAGTTCAGTAGGGGCAAGAACTTACTAGGGATAAGAAGAAATTGATACAACTCTATACTTGCAAGAGTGTACGTTGATGCAAGCGGAAAAAAATGAAGATCGCTTTTGGCATCTATTCCCCTCACAGTCAATACTTAACTTCCTCGTGAAGAGAAGTCAACTTTTTTTATTTCCTAACTCCCTAGAGGAGTCAATCCTTGATTTCCTCGTGAAGAGATGTCAACTTGTGTTATTTCTTACTCTCCAGTAGAGTCAACTTTTGACTTCCTCGTGAAGAAAAGTAAATATTGCAGATTTGGTCTTCCTGACAAAGCAACAAATCAAATCAACTTTGAATCTGATTTTCACGGAAGAGTAGTGGAACAGATTCTTCTTATTTCAGATTTGGTCTCCACAGAAGAGTAGTGGAAGCAAGTCAACATTCAGTCTGATCTTCTCTGAATGAATAATGGAGCAGATATGTCTTCAAAATTGATCTGTATACCCGAAAAAGTGGTAAAGATCCATACTGATCTTCTCTGAATTAATAGAGGAGCAGATACGTCTTTAAATTGATATGTATACCCGAAAAGTGGCACATATCCATTTTGATCTTCTCTGAATAAATAGTGGAACATATTCTTATTATTTGCAATCATCCAGCCTTCACAGAAGAGTAGTGAAGTAAATCATTCAAAGCCTTTATAAAAGAGTAGTAAAACAACCCAACCTTCACGAAAGAATAGTGAAGTAAATCATTTTTAGCCTTCAAGGAAGAGTAGTGAAGTAAATCATTTTTAGCCTTCACGAAAGAGTAGTGAAGCATGAACATATCAAAAGTTTGATCTCCACGGAAGAGTAGTGGAACGGATTTTTTAAGTAGTCAATTGGACGAAAACTTCTTGTCTTTTTATCTTTGCTATATTCTTGTTAACACAAAAATAAGCAAAGAGGGGCAACTGTCGACAATCGTTTTCATCCGAGTTTCGTTTTATATTATTATTATTATTATTTATTACTACTATTATTATTATTAGTATTATTATTATTACATAAACTTGGAGGCCCAAATAAACAAATCAATTTCGGAGGCCCAATTACAAAGCAAAATCCGGAGGTCCAATTACAAGTCCAACCTAGCAGATCCAAACCCAAGAAGGCCCAAACTCGATTAGGGTTTCCCATGCTTCTCCAACCGCCTCATCACCACCGTTCGATCAAAGAGGAAATGGAGGGCCCAGATGAAGCTTACAGAAACCCTAGGGTTTCATCATTACCCTAGGGTTATCATCTCGCCGCCACCAACGATCTACAACTGTCCAAGTGTTCCACTCCGACGCTGCCATGCCACCACCGCCTTAGCAGAAGACTCCAGAAGCCGCAGGAGAGTCGCACACCTCACTACCCTATAGTGAGTCACCATCGTAGATCCGATGACTCACCGGGGTTCCCTCTGTTAACCAGTTAAAGGGAGGCATCACGAGGCCTATAAAAGTCCATCGACCGAACTTGCAAAAAAAAAAAGAGACGACAACAACGGACATAAATAGAGAAAAAACGGGGAGAAAGCTACGAAAATAGAAATCCATTCGAACAACAGCAAATAAGGGCAGCCAAACAACAACCAGAGGAAAAAACAAAAGAAAGAGAAGAAACTTACCGAGAAGGCCAAACGTCATCGGGTTTTTCGAAGATAAACATTTAGATCTACGTCAATCTATGAGCTTTTAGGATGAAGGAATTTCAGATTCGGGACTAGGGTAAATCGGGCTTCAATTTGGAGTGTTTTCCAGAATTCCAGCCACCGTGAACGGTGACCGACGGTGGTCGAAATCGGCAACGGACGGTGGTCGGCCAGTGGCCAGATTTCCTCCGGTGGGAGGTTTTTAGAGAGAGAGAGGAAATGAGAAAATGAAAGAGAATGGCCTTAAATGGCCGATTTTAGGGCTTTTATACCCCTTCCCAAACGATGCCGTTTTGGGAGGGGTATTTGTGTAATTTTTTAATGGGAAAATCCCTCCCGCAATCCATGTACTTTGTAAGTCTTCTATTTTAGTCACTGAAATCATTTTTCTGAGTATTTTAATTCGGTCTTCGCGTTTTATTTTATCATGTTTTAGTCACTGCCCATATATTTATGTATTTTAGATAAAATTGCATATTTAGTCCTTAGAATTTCTAATAACTTATATTTTAATCCCGAATTATAATTTAGGTTAAATTATACTATTAATGTTTATATTTTATGGTATTTCGAATTATACCCTTTAATTTCGATATTTTGCATTTTAATCTCTATAATTTTAATTTGTTTTTTATATAGATTTGGGTCATATTATTTTATACAGTAAATCATAAAATATCTCCTTAATTGATTAGGAATGTATTCTAAATGATTTATTGGTATAAAATAATATCCCTAATGTTTTTATGGGATCATAAAATTAAATTAAATTCATATTTGTAAATTTTTACTACAAATACAAATTAATTACTGAACAACGGTACCAATTTTGGGCGTTGTGGGATTGCTAATCCTTCTCCACACGTAACCGACTCCCGAACTCATTTTCTGGTAAGCAGACCCTTTTTTGTGCTATTTTAATATTGTTCTTATGAATTTTATTAAAATAACATAATATTTTGGTGACCAATCTCACCTTGATAAATGATTGTTGGCGACTCTTCAAATTAGTGTTTTATCCTTTGCCAGAAGATAAACACTTGTATTTTTCGAGACAGCTACACTTATGTGTACAATTTGTTTTTTTCGACGGGCAAATAACGTCTCGACAATCATCACGTTAGCTGCCACGTCATTTCCACATCAGCTGCTAACTAGATGCCATGTCGGGTGTGTCATGTCCCAAGTCGTGCCCACTAATCCGACCATGAATCCAGAAAAATAAAAAAATTACACGATTTCGTTGTTCTTAGCATAATTTCTGGAATTCAATGTTCTGTATCGAAAATGAATGAAAAAGCCCAAGTTAGCAACTAAAATTATCTAATCAATGAGTAATTAATAATAAAATAATGTATAATTTAAACACTAATCAATTATATGATTGTACTTTCAGATATTTCCTATAAACATAAAGGGTTCAGGAGGAAGCCTGGTGAATTTGCTAAACTGGGCAAGTTCTTGGGTTGTTTCATACACTTTCACTTTTCTCTTTGAATGGAACTCAGCTGGTGATTTTCCTTGTGACCCATTTTTACCTTTCCTATGTTGTTTTCTTGAGATTTTCTGGGATTTTAAATGTTTTTTTTTCTTTCAGGAACATTCTTCATCTTTGCCTTCATCGGTGTTGTTGCGATTATATTCATCGGAAAGCTAGTTCCGGAGACCAAGGGAAGAACACTAGAGGAATTACAAACACATCAATGACTCCAAATCAAAGTATCAGTGGATTGAATCGATACAGATATTACATATCTATAATATTTCATTATAGACTACATAACACAAGATTCTGCCAAGAAAACACTACACACCATCCGTTATATATAACGCTTATCGATGCCCAAAATCTTAGACCTTGCAGTAAACTTCAAGTTCAGTAAAAACACCTAGAGCTGCTATCTGAGAAGCGTAATGTTGCAGATATTCGTCGTAGTCGAAGAGTTTGAAGAGCAAGCCATTTTTGCCATCCACAAACTCTTCAGGAACCTTTACAGGGTAGCCTCCTCTCGGGTTTGCGAAAACTGCGATGCTATATCTTACCTTGTTTCCTTTCGTCACGACCCGATTATAAGGTACAGACAATAGGACGTTTAACCATACCTACAGAGAAAGTAAAGGGACATATCATACCGATAATCCGCTAGTACTTCTAAACAATACTAATCAAACCGACCAACAAGGTATCGATGTCATAATGACTTACACCAAGGGACTCGCCGCTCAAGATTATGAAAGAGTTTGGCGATGGCTTTATATTGATCCATTCGCCATCTTTGGTTAGAATCTCCAATCCTTTCATCTCGTTTTGATACAAAAGAGTTATCCAAATCTTGTTAGTATGTGCATCTGCTCCAAGGGTGGGTTCGTTGCCGGTTTGTGGCCTTCCATATTTAATTGCCCTCAGGGTATAATTAGTGGCATAGATGAGTTCATCCGTGTATTTCTCGACGCCAAAACTCTCCAAAACCATCCTCATAATCGTCTTCTCTAATCCCGCTGCTAAGTGTGTAAAGGATTCAATAGTTTTGCTGTCTAAAGAAAATTAAAAAATGAATTCCGGAAAAGCGAGACAGAATGGAAACGTAATTCACCTGAAGTTTATGCTTCCTTGAGGCCACAAGATGTTGGTGAGGCCTCGATCGATGTTTCCGGGAACATGTGCTTCATCGATCATCACGCTTTCACGCAGTAGTTTTGCCGTAGCATCATGGTAGCCACCAAATGGTCTGTCGGAAGTGAAAAGCTGTTTCGTTTTTAAAGGAAGGTCAAAGAGCTCTTCCATGGCTCCAAACACCGCCTTTCGAACCTCCGCGAGTTTGTCGAACAACGCCTCGAAACCGCCATACTCCTCGAGTGCTTCTCGGACTTGGAGTTTCACCAGATCCCATTAAGGGCTGCCTTTCATATTTGTTTCGAAGATGGTGCCGGAGATGAAGGGGCGAACGCTTGAAGGCATACAAGCATCAGTTTCTAGCAGTCCGTAGTGAGGACTGAGAACAAATGTACGATAAGTAAACTACAGAGTAGAATGAATTGTAAAATGTTTTAGGGTAAGTACAAAAATAGTCCCAAACTATATAGCATTATTTTGTTAAGTATTTTAACTACTAAAAATTATAAAATGGTCTTTATTTTGGATATTTTGGATAGGCACCCAGATCGACACTTAAAGGATCGACACATTCCGTATAATATATTTTATTGTAATTTTTTAATATTCCGAACTATCTTTATTTTGGTGACATGTGCCTGTTATTTTAATACACTGGTTTTATAACCTACTTCCTATCACCTCTGAAGTATGTATTAATTTTGTCACTGGTTATGGGTACATTTTTTTTTTCACTGGTGATTTTATTTTTTATATTACTCGTTTTGGGTTTTTTTGGTTTTTAAAGTGTTAAAAATGTTTTAAAAATGATCGTATTGTATAGACCGGGTTAGGAGTTACAAAGAATGAAGAATTTTTGACAAAATAGATAGTTCCATTATGAGACAATAACAGCTCAAAATCTGAAAAGGAAAAAAAAAGATTTGGTGAGTGGAGAACCGAGTCAGGTGAGAAAGAATCACGAGATCCAGCTAAACTGATCGCTCATTGATCTTGAATGGCGAGAAAAAACTGGTTTCGATGAGTTTTCTGTTAAGATAGTAACAAAGCTATCTTATTCTACAGAATGAACAATAGAAATAAAGGAAAATAGAACAGAAAGAATGCTTCAGTAATCATTTTATAAAACTGAGTATATCCTCAACCAAGCACGATGACTAGTTATTTATACTAAGCAAAGCCGACGATTAAAGAGAAAGAAAACAGCTAAGAATTGACAGCTCACCAAAACTCTAACCTCTCAATCAACTTCTAACAGATTCATGCATAAAGATGAAACACATGCACGTCACCTAGAGCAGAACCTTCAAAACCTTTCACACCTTCATTCTTCAACAATCTCATACTCCAACATTTTCTTCGGTTTGGCGATCTGGGTTTGGTTCGAAGCTCGTGGATCTTGAATGGAATTTTAGTTTCAGTTTGTAAATGTTAGTTATGTGTTTAGTTTCCATTTGTGTTTGTGAAATCAGGACTTAAAGCTAGAAGAAGAAGAAGAAGAAGAAGAAGAAGAAGAAGAAGAAGAAGAAGAAGAAGAAGAAGAAGAAGAAGAAGAAGAAGAAGAAGAAAGAAGGGTTAACTGCCACGTCAGCAAAAACTGGCGGGAGGTAACGACAAGCATATTACTCAAAACGAAATAAAAGTTCGATGATTGTATTGCAAGTTTCAAAAGTTGGGTGACGACAAGCATATTACTCAAAACGAAATAAAAGTTCGATGATTGTATTACAAGTTTCAAAAGTTGGGTGACCAAAATGCAAGCGCCTTAAAAGTTCAGGGACTATTTATATACTTTATCCTATATTTTTTTATTAATTTAATTTTATTGTTATTTAAAATAATTTGTATGAATTAAATCACTTCAATAATTAAATGAATAATTGTTATCTCATAAGGTTTTAAATTTGAGCACGTCATCAATAGGAGCATTTGAACGCTTATTGTCAAATTATCAATAATCTTTCGAACAAATACTATCTTATAATTATTATAGATTGATAAAAAAGTTTATAAATAATTATTTTCAATAAAAATATTAAAATTTAAATGCTATTTACATAAAATTTGACATGATAATTTAGTTATACTTCATATTCGAGACCCGACTTGAAAAATATATAATCCTCCCTCCGACTCTGATCTGATCAGAATTTTAAAAATATAAACCCAACCTAATTCGACTCTGATCTGATCAGAATTTTAAAAATATAAATCCAACCTAATTCGACTCTGATTTGATCAGAATTTTAAAAATATAAATCCAACCTAATTCGACTATGTATAAAATAACAAATTAATTAAAACATAATAAAATTTTAAAAAAGTTATATTATTATCCTGAGTCAGGTCAGGTAGAAGTTTTTTCACCCTCCACCAGAACCCGACCCGACCCGATCTCATCCCTTTAAAAAATCCGACCCGATTAGGACCTAATTTTTTTTTTAAATTCCGTCCATATCAAATCTACCAGGTCAAAATCTATCAATTTCGGGATAAATTACCGTCCCTAGATTAATCATTTATGAGAGTGACATACAAACAAATAATGTCACGGCAACCATTTTCTATGTAATAATAAAGAGATTTGATGGCTGGCATTGACTAAAGATGAAGCTGAAACTTTAGGGAAGAAAACAGAGCAGCAGAAAATCATCAGAAACTTCAAACTTTACCTGTGTAGCCCAGATCTGTAAGCAACACTTACCCAACCCGAATTCTCGGGTTAATTGGTATAATTTCTCTGTTTTTACAATTCAATTACATATTATTCAATTGCCTGAAGTTATACAGTTTTTTACTTCCTCGATGCTCTATATTGTTCCATGTGTCGTAAGAGTGAGTCAGTGACGGACTCAAGATTTTATGTTAGGAGTCGAACTTATAGAACAGCTGCCGACTGTCTTTTCTTACTGATAGTCACATGGGTAATTTCTCTCTATTTCCACAGTGATCAAGAAAAGCAAAACATGGAGAAAAATGAAGTGTTGGAAGGGCTGGTCACCGGAAAACCGGTTATCATCGATGAGGCAGCGACGAGTGTTCGATACGGAGATAGTACTGTCGGCTGTAATCACAATGGTTCATCTTCTGTCACCGGGACTGTTATCTTTAGCACCTTAGTGGCAATATCTGGTGCATACGCATTTGGAAATGCAGTAAGTATAGTGAAAATGTACCTTTTCTATGTGTTCTGTTCACCAACTTGAAATATTATACTGGTTTGGCTATATGTTATGTTCAGGAATGTATGTGGTAATCGTGTATTTGAGTGGTTCGGGATTCATTTTCAGGTGGGGTACTCGTCTCCGGTTAAAAGCGGCATTACAGAAGACCTCGGCCTTTCTCTAGCAGAGGTAAAATAAATTCCGCCAAAGATGAAAAAGTTGAATCACAGAATAAATGTAATTAGCTTTACTCTCTGATGCAGTATGCAGTTTTTAGTTCCATATTAACAGTGGGAGGGATGCTTGGAGCAGCATGTAGCGGTAAGATCGCAGATCTTCTCGGCGGAAGAGGCGTAAGTCTTTCTATTAACCCTTAACATTTATTGAAGATGACTGGTATCCGGTTTCCCGATTCTTAGATGCTTTAGATTTCTAAACAGGCAATGGGGATTTCAGAAGTTTTCTGCATCACAGGGTGGCTTGCAATAGTATTCTCTAAGGATGCTCAGTGGCTCAACTTGGGAAGACTTCTAATTGGATGTGGATCCGGGGTTCTTTGTTATGTGGTAACACTCGTAGCTTGCGAAAATTTCAAACATGATTCATTAGTATCATGAAAATCTGTCATCTAAATCTTTTCTTATACAGATTCCTCTTTATCTATCTGAAATCGCTACTAAGAATGTTCGGGGAGCATTCGCGTCGCTTTTTACTGTATGCATACTTCATTCATTCCATAACTGATTCCTGGGAGCAGGTTTTCTTTAGCTGATGCATGTATGTTGGTATTTACAGGTCATGCTATGCTGCGGCAAGGCAGTCATGTTCATAATCGGTTCTCTAATCAATTGGCGCACCTCAGCCCTTATAGGTCACTTCTTTCAAGATATTTTAAACTTTTAGTACTAAGATTCGAATTCCGAGCATGTTGAAAAGCTGCCATTAGTTTTATTTTCAGGAGTCGTACCGTGTGTGCTGCAATTGATTGGAGTTTTCTTCATTCCAGAGTCTCCAAGATGGCTGGTCAGTGAGGTTCAATGTATATATAGGCTATAGTTAAAGTGTCCAATTGGTAATGGTAACCATCTGCAGGCCAAGACTAATGAAACAAAAGAGTTTGAAGCCACCCTGCGACGCCTTCGGGGAGAAAAGGCTAATATCTCTCAAGAAGCTACTGATATCAGAGTAAATCTCATATTTTCTCGAATCAACACGAAATTTTCGATCGGAATGAGACATGATTTTTGTTATGAAACAGTTGTACACGGAATACATGCAGCAGATCGCCGATGGAGGGCTTCGGAATCTCTTCCAGAAGAGATATATCAACCCATTGATTGTGAGAGATGATTAGATATACATCTGCATTCATTGTCGAAAGCTGCTTTATGCTTGCTTATTTCAGGTCGGAGTAGGACTCATGGTGTTCCAACAATTTGGAGGCCTAAGTGGTTTTTCATACTATACAAGTTTTATATTCGAGTCAGCCGGTAAACTTTCGAAACTACGTTTAGTTTAACCGTGATTACATAGATCGAAAACCGTAAGCAAAGTAATTCTGTCTTTCACAGGTTTTCCGAGCAAGGTCGGATCCATTGCGATAGCTGTTCTTCAGGTTAGCAAATGACATTAACATTTGATATCAGATTAAAACATTGTACTGGCGCATTCTAACCCCTAGGGAAATGTTTGGCAGATCTTAATGGCTATTCTCGGAGTACTCTTCATCGATAAGTCTGGACGACGACCACTTCTGCTGGTTAGTTATTATCGACAACATTTATCTTCCATCTATAAACTTCATCAGCATTGAAAAACATTCAATTAGCACCAATCTGTGCAGATATCGGCAGGTGGAACATGCTTGGGCTGTGTCATTACAGGACTTTCATTCTTCCTGCAGGTTTCGGCTTAAACTCTTACATGGTTTTGCCATTTGCAGCCTTTTCTAAACACATTTGTCTGCCATGAAATGAGTAGGATTTTCATGCAAGCAAGGAACTAACAGCCACATTGGTGATTACTGGAGTATTGGTAAAGCTGCTATATATTAACATACAATCTTCAAGTTTACAGTTTAGATTTCTTCACTGAGCAGGATATTTGATCATTTATCTTCCATCCATGTGAAACCTGAAAACCAGGTTTTCCTGCTTAGTTTTGATCTGGGCTTGGGGGGAATTCCCTGGATCATTGTTTCTGAGGTAAAGTTCTCGATTTCAGTTCATCTGATGAAATATTGACAAAAGAATGAAAATCAAATGAACTCTCTCACACACGCAGACATATGCATATGTATATATACACACACACTTATATATTATTGACACGCGTCGTCGTTATGATCTCAAAATAAATAGTCTTAATCCCAAAAATGAATAAGAATAAGTAAAATAGTGAGAGTAAGATCCACAGGGACTAGGAGTTTGACGATTTCCTAGCTTTTGATCTGGCTTTAGGCGTGATTTGTAAAAGAAATTAGAGGGGAGATTTTGGAGAATTGAAGCGAAGTAATAAAATTGATTGAAATAAAATTAAATGGTAAAATTCAATTGCTAGAAATCAGACTAGGGCTAAAGCTTTTGCCTCGATTTAAATCGATCCTCGAATAGGATTTTACCTTCGGGCTCACGCTGGTTACAGTCTATAGGGTCCAACCCCTATAACTTGTTTTTCTCTCAAATGAATCGAGAATCTAAAATCTATCTTTAGATCTCGGTTATTTGTGAGTTAATAGCGTCAATCGCTTATTAATTCAATGCTTTGAAAATATGGAAAACCCAGACTCGGATTCTATCGTCTCAATTGAGAATCTAACCCGATTTCAGTTTCCCTTAGCGGACCGCCGCTAAGTGTGTTCATAGGAAGTCGAATGTGCCACAGGCCGATCCTTCCTCCCAATTGTTAATCGAAACCGAAATTCAATTCCAACGTGCACTTTTGAAATGAAATCGCCTTGATTATAAAAGGATTGTCGATTACCTATCCTTGATTTTCGAAAACTGAAAGTGTATCCCTTGAGAGTATGAAGCGCTTTTTGATTCTCATGACTTAGAATCGAGTCATAGCTTGAGACCTTGGCTATAGAAAACTTAGCTAAACATGAATGAATTGATATTTAGAATTTTAAGAGTTGAATGAATTCTGGATGAAGAAATCGATGATTAGAGGCTTACCCCAATGGGGTATTTATAGTCCCCAAAAAAAACTTAAAGGATAACATTTAAAACTAAAAAGATAATTCATAAAATAAAAATAAAATAAATCTTAATTTGAATTCAAAAATTCTGTTGAGTCTTTGGTCTTCACGCCACTGCTGACTGGATGCCACATCACCTTCCACGTCATCGTTGTCGACAGTCGTTTTTGTCCGAGTTCCGTTTTATATTATTATTATTACTATTATTATTATTATTTATTATTACTACTACTATTATTATTAGTATTATTATTATTACATAAACTCGGAGGCCCAAATAAACAAATCAATTCCGGAGGCCCAGTTACAAAACAAACTCCAGAGGTCCAATTACAAGTCCAACCCAGCAAATCCAAACCCGAGAAGGCCCAAACTCAATTAGGGTTTCCCATGCTTATCCAACCGCCTCATCACCACCGTTCGATCAAAGATCTACAACCGTCCTAGTGTTCCACTCCGTTCCAGTGTTCCACTCCGACGCTGTCATGCCACCACCGCCTCAGCAGAAGACTCCAGAAGCCGCAGGAGAGCCGCACACCTCACTACCCTATGATGAGTCACCATTGTAGATCCGGTGACTCACCGGGATTCCCTCTATTAACCAGTTAAAGGGAGGCATCACGAGGCCTATAAAAGGCCATCGACTGAACCTGCAAAGAAAAAAAAAAGACGACAACAACGGGCAGAGAGAGAAAAAACCGGGAGAAAGCTACGAAAATAGAAATTCATTTGAACAACAGCAAATAAGGGCAGCCAAACAACAACCAGAGGAAAAAACAAAAGAAAGAGAAGAAACTTATCGAGAAGGCCAAACGTCATCGGGTTTTTCGAAGATAAACGTTTAGATCTACGTCGATTTATGGGCTTTTAGGAGGAAGGAATTTCAATTTCGGGACCAGGGTAAATCGGGCTTCAATTTGGAGTATTTTCCAGAATTTTGGCCACCGTGAACGGTGGTCGGCTGGTGGCCAGATTTCCTCCGATAGGAGGTTTTTAGAGAGAGGCGAAAGAGAAATTTTTATCTCTCTTAGAGAGAGAGGAAGTGAGAAAATGAAAGAGAATGGCCTCAAATGGCCGGTTTTAGGGCTTTTATACCCCTTCCCAAACAACGCTATTTTGGGGAGGGGTATCTGCGTAATTTGTTAGTGGGAAAATCCCTCTTGCAGTCCATGTACTTTGTAAGTCTTCTATTTTAGTCACTGAAATCATTTTTCTAAGTATTTTAATTCGATCTTCGCATTTTATTTTATCATGTTTTAGTCACTACCCATATATTTATGTATTTTAGGTAAAATTTCATATTTAGTCCTTAGAATTTCTAATAACTTATATTTTAATCTCGAATTATAATTTAGGTTAAATTATACTGTTAATATTTATATTTTATGGTATTTCAAATTATACCCTTTAATTTCAATATTTTGCATTATAATCTCTATAATTTTAATTTGTTTTTTTAAATAGATTCGAGTTATATTATTTTATACAATAAATCATAAAATATCTCCTTAATTGATTAGGAAGGTATTCTAAATGATTTATTGGTATAAAATAATATCCCTAATGTTTTTATGGGATCATAAAATTAAATTAAATTTAGATTTGTAAATTTTTACTGCAAAGACAAATTAATTACTGAACAACGGTACCAATTTTGGGCGTTGTGGGGGTGCTAATCATTCCTCACACGTAACCGACTACCGAACTCATTTTCTGGTAAACATATCGTTTTTGTGTTATTTTAATATTGTTCTTATGAATTTTATTAAAATAACATAACATTTTGGTGACCAATCACACTTTGATAAATGATTGGTGACGACTCTTCAAATTAGTGTTTTATCTTATGCCAGAAGATAAACACTTGTATTTTTCAAGACAGCTACACTTATGTGTACAATTTGTTTTTTTTTTCGCCGGGTAAATAACTTCTCGACAGCTTGGCGACTCCACTGGGGACCATTTTTTTTAGAGAGTCAAGTCACTCCACTGGAAGAACTTACATGGAGCGACAACTGATGACTTTAGGAGTAAGGTTTTGTCTAATACAAGTTTTGAAACTACAAACTCAAAAAATGCAGATATGTTATGGAAAAATATGGCAAATTCCATCAGAGATGTTGGCAAAAATACCCTTGGGTTGTCGACGGGGAAGGCCAAGGAACATAAAGAATCGTGGTGGTGGAACGACGAAGTCCAAACTAAGGTGAAGACAAAACAAACTTGCTTCAAGGAGTTTCTACAATGCAATGACGACGAAGAAAGGTCGAGAGCTAAACAAAGATACCAGGAGGCAAAGCGGGAAGCCAAGAAAACGGTAGCTAAAGCAAAGGATAAGGCATACGAGGAAATGTACAAGAGATTAGACACCAAGGTAGGACAAAATGGCATCTTCAGACTTGCAAAATCTAGGGAGATTAGGAAAAAGGATCTAGGTAACATTAGGTTTATTAAGGACAACAATGGTGTTCTTTTAGCGAAAGATCACGATATTAAGAGGGTTTGGGGTAGTTACTTCTTTGGCTTATTTAATGACGGTGCCTCTCCATGTAGAGATAGTATCGTTGATGGGTTAGCCGACTATCATACTACGGCCAATGACTGCCCTACAAGTAGGATTGGGTTGGAGGAAGTCAAAATGGCTCTTAGAAAGATGGGAAGGGACAAAGCTGTCGGTCCTGATCAAATTCCTATCACTGTGTGGTTGGCCCTAGGAGAAGAGGGAGTTAAGTGGTTGACCAACATCTTTAATATTATTTTAGAGACTGCCAAGATGCCAGAGGAGTGGAGAGAGTCTACGGTGATACCAATCTATAAAAATAAAGGAGATCCCCAACGTTGTGGTAACTACAGAGGTATTAAACTCCTCAGCCATACCATGAAGCTATGGGAAAGGGTGATAGAGGCTAGGTTGAGACAAGTTACTAGGGTTTCGGAAAACCAATTTGGCTTTATGCCAGGCAGGTCTACCACGGAGGCGATTCATCTACTTCGACGGCTTATGGAGAAATATAGGGAAAAGTCTAGAGATCTTCACATGGCGTTCATTGACCTTGAGAAGGCTTATGATAGTGTTCCCCGCGATACGATCTGGAAGACTTTGGAAACTAGACGGATCCCAACTGCTTATATCCGGGCGATTCGTGATATGTACTGTAGATCTACTACTTACGTCAGGACTACAGTTGGCGACACCGAGGCATTCCCGGTTGAAATCGGACTCCACCAGGGTCGGCTCTTAGCCCTTACATCTTCGCCTTGATTATGGACGACATCTATTGTGCGACACCAGACGGTGTACCATGGTGTATGCTTTTCGCTGACGACATTGTCTTAGTTGCTGAAACAAAATCTGAGTTGAATAGTAGACTGGCTACCTGGAAGACTGCTTTGGAAGAAAAAGGTTTAAGGATCAATATTGAAAAGACAGAGTATGTATGTTCAAACTTCAATGGGAACCAAAATGATGAAGATATAGAAGTATGCATAGAAGGACACGTTCTCCCCTCAAAGGATTGTTTCAAGTACCTAGGGTCTATGATACATAAAGATGGGGGTGTAGATGATGACGTTACACACCGTATAAAGTCGGGATGGCTAAAGTGGAGGGCCGCTACTGGAGTTCTGTGTGACAAGAAGGTCCCTCTAAAACTTAAGGGAAAATTTTATAGAATGGCAATAAGACCAGCGCTGTTGTATGGATCAGAATGTTGGGCAACCAAGAAGGATCACGTGAGGAGGATTGAGGCCGCAGAAATGAGAATGCTTCGATGGACATGTGGTAGGACTCTGAGGGATATGACGACAAACTCTGCTATTAGGATGTCCTTGGGGGTGGTGTCTGTTTCCGAAAAATTGAGGGAGGGAAGACTACGGTGGTTTGGGCATGTCCTTAGGCGACTACCGTCGGATGCGGTAAGGAGGGTAGAGTCGATTACAGTCGACGGTGCCAGAAGGAAAGGACGACCAAGGCGAAAGTGGGAAGACTGCTTGAGATCTGATTTG